AATTTTAGGGTAGAAAGAGTGAGGATACGCATGAGTTCTTATCTACATCTCAAGGGTTGCAAGAGACAATTGCCTTGGCTAAGTCTCGTGGTGTTTTCTTTACTTCAACACTTTAGTTGTATGGTCTAACTAGAGAGTGGTGGAAAGTCTATTTGGATTCTATACTGGCTGGACCTCTGTCAATGACTTGTGGGGCATTTGCTTGTACTTTTTGTATGATCATTGTATCCCTTCGAGTCTGAATGAGGACAGTAAATTAAGATTCGAGAGTTTGATATAGGAGACTATGCAGATATCTAAGGATGGTCATGCAACTCGTGGTTTCTACAGTTCGGGTTGGTGTTCTCATGGTTCACAACAGAATCGTGGACCAGTTCATGATCCTTATTGGTTGTGTTTACCTGAGTTTAAAGAGGAGCGGATATGGATTAACGCAAAGGGTAATTGTGGGTGAAAGATTAAAAAAACTTTATTGATAAGGTTCAGGAAGTTTGAAGAATAGAAAATTGATCTTATGAATTTTCGAAATTAATTAAAATTTGTAGTTACGATTTGTTGGGTTTGTGTTTGTCAACTTTTAGTTAAAATTTTATGTCAAATGGAATTAATTTTTAGCCCATCTTTTCATGAACTTGGCACTCATTTTGAGCAAATACGAATAACATGGCTTTGTCAAAAGTCGCCTAGCTGATTTTTTTTACCATTTGAACTTTTTATGTGTTGTTAAAAATAACGTGAAATTTCACTTGTAATCAATAGTATTACAAGCACACTTAGTGGAAAAGTATTTGAGTAATATCTAACCTTCCACAAAAGTAAAAAACCCCTTCTTCTTTTTTTGTGAAATATTCCTCAAGTCTACTCTTTTGGCTCCAATGGATATAGGGATGCAGAATCATCGAAGCTTAGTTAAAAGAAAAATGACAAAGCCAGGATGAGACAAATTAAATGCTGTTGTTTGCACCCAATTTCACCAGGCAGTAGACTGTATCTAGATAGCTCTTCTATGTAATGCTTTGTTAAGATTCCCTTCTCAAAGCTTGGAATGCTACTCCAAGCCTAACTTTAGATTTGAAAAATCTAAATGCATAGTTGTTTAACTAGAAATATATATATATAATAATTAGTTGTTTGTTAGTTGAATCACGTATAATATATATGATCTGTTAATCTGTGAATTCTTTAACAATACTGACTGACAGCTTAATGGTAATTAAAAATGACAAGACTTTTTCACGTTAAAACTGTCTGTTTAAATCTCACTATCATTATTGTCTTGGTTCCGTCTTCTCGATCTTACTTGGAAGGCGGTGACCCTACATACATATATAAGATACTGACCCTCCATAAAAACGAGGGTGGTCCACAGGGCATCTCTGGTGATGACCACATGGGTAATCTGTTTGCAAATGGCGATTTGTTTTATCTTTTCTACTGTACCGTTGCTGCAATCGCCCCATGTTCCACATATTCCTTTGCTCCGATACATCAATCATTAACCCAATACACCTTTTGTCTCTCTATTTAAATTAAACTTTTCTCTAAATATATTCCACCAACAAACAAGCATATGCTAATTACTACATTTTATACAAAAAAAAAAAAAATTGTTCAAATTTGTGCTACTCCCTTTGTCCCCCATTTATGTAAAGAAAATAGTTTTTCGAGAATCAAACAATTTAAGTAAGATTAAAGAATTTTTAATGAAAACTTCAATTTTTAAAAAATAACATTTATATATTTGTAAATTATGTAAAAATTACTATTAACTCACAATAATTGATAATTTAAAATATATAAGAAATAATTACTGTTAATGTTAAACTTGTTTGAATTTCGAAATCTAAAATTTGTCACGTAAATTAGGATGGAAAGAATAGTACTACATCAAAACGGTCATATAAGTTTCTCAAAGTATTCAAAATATTAAAAAAAAAAAAGTGGATAAACAAATCGGATTGACAAAGCAATGGTACGTAGTTTAATTGAGAACAAGTTATTCTGAAATTAATTATTTTGAAACAAGCTATTCCACATTGTATATTAAGGACACCCAACCAAAATCACGATAAGATAGTTGTGCATTTTTATTCTTAGATTATTATATATATTAGATATACGTTACACCAAATGCTTCCTAATTTTGCATCATTAGATAAATAGTTTCACTCCCCATTCATTCCACAGACAGAGCATTAATTTATCACACAATTATTAAAAAACCTCTACTCGTGGTATAATTAATTTGTCTTATGGTCTCCTAACCTACCTAAGAACTACAATTAATTGCATAAAAACTCAACCATGGAACAAAACTTAATTGGTTTTTCTTATTTATTATTTTATGTTTTTATAACAAAACAGATTTCATTTGTGATACGGAGAGGTCTAGAATATAGTATAATTATATTTTTTTACTAATATGTAAAAACACTCTTTATATCCGCATATAGCGTGTAACGTGCTGATATAGAAATGGCAACAAGAGCATCTTTTCCATACTTTTTCATTTCTTGTTTCTAATAGTAGTAGGTGAAATTTGATGTATATGAATCTTTATGTGGTGATCATGAAGATTTTGGAGAGATTTTAGATAAAGTGCTATAAAATTGTACTCCATTTTTAAACAAAATATTTGACATAGCGTATTGCTAATATCATATTATATATGTAACTTTTTAAGTTTATGCCATTTAAATAAAACTAAAATTTGGAATCTATGTGTGCATGGATATGTATTCTACTTTTTAATCCTAGCACACAACTAATAGTTTATCGTTTCGGATAAGACAAAAGTATTCTCTACACTATAATTAAAATTGCAAATACACATCTTAATTAAACTACAATTCTATTATCTCTCTTTCCTCCCGAACCCTTTTTTTAAAATAAAAATTATACACTTTTTTAGCTTGCGTGACATCCAATCATCTCTCACGCGCTTCAACTATGTCCCATGTAAGTCAAAATATGGAATTTTTAACCAAACTAAGCCATTATATAAAACAATTTATCAAAGTAATACATTTTTCTAAAATTTTACAAAACTAGTATAAACGTATTTCATGGTAACATTTTAGGGTATATTTTTTTATAAAAAAATTAACAGCATTAGGTTGATATACGCTACTGTGAGTAACGTATATCAATCTGACGCCATCAACTTTTAAAAAAATAAAATATATCCTAAAACGTTGCTGTGGAATACGTTTATACTAGTTTTGTAAAATTTTAGAAAAACATATTATTTTCGTGAATGACTTTATATAATGACTTAGTTTAGTTAAAACCTCCAAAATATGTACAAAATTATAAAAAATGAATTTGAAAATAATATAACCTTAGTTTATTTAAAATGTATCTTTGAAATTTCTGTCATAATCTAAAAATAGTCGTGACTTATTCCTTTATATATATAGTGCTATATTATGAACGAGACACAAAAAAAGAGGAACCAAAATTAGTTGAAAGTTGAGTGTCTATAATAGTATTTGTATTATGGAATCTTTTGTAATGAAATGAATGAGTTGAAAAGTTATGTCATTTCATGGGCCTCATGGCCATCCGACCGAATAGACAGAAAGGTGAAAGCCGAGCTGTTTCAATTGATTTTGTAGTTTTATTTTTATTGATTTTTCTACAAAGTAGTGCGCTGCGAGAATCTTACACCAATCTTTAAAACACTATACAGAGAGGAGAAATCAAAAAAGAAAAATAGTTAATGGATAAACATGATTTGACTCCTTTTTATTGCACTCTCTCAAAAATTACATGTTTAGATAATAGAATCTTATTTAATTTTTTTTAATTAGAAATAATTTAATTTTAAAATACTTTATAATTTTTAACGAAATAATTTGTAATTATATAAATATCTAAAAATTATGTTAAATTATAAGTTTTACGAGTTATTTTTCTTACACATTATATTCAATTAAATAGTGTTATATAAAATAAGACGAAAAAAATATAATTTTAAAGTCAAGATTAGAATAATTTAACAAACAATAATTTATAAAAGTCAAGATTGGAATAATCTAACAAACATGACTAAACTAAAAAAGTATACTCTTTAATTTTTGGTATGCAATATTCATCACATAATTTTATACTTATAAATTTCAGTTTGTAATTATTAATTATTGGTAAACTTCCCTACCTCTCTCATTACAAAAGTCCGTATAAATAAGAACAATAATTTGTGACCATAAATTTTTGAAAATTTGTTTTTAAAAAACTAGTTTGAAATTGAGTTGAAACAATAGTACTCCGTGCAATCAAGCCTAGTTAAAATTTGGGATAAGATGTAAGTACCTCAAGATTATGTTTGAAATTTTAAAGACATACCTAAACTGAACTAAGGTATTATTATCCTTTGAACTTATATTTTTTGTAATTTTGTACATCTTTTGTCTTACGTGATACACTTCGTGACTCGATGCAATTGAGACTCATAGGAGATATTTGAATGTCACGTAAGCTAAAAAGGTACACAAAATTATTTTAAAAATATAAAATGGGTGTGTGTGGGGAGAGAGTAATAGGATTTTAATTTAGTTAATGTGTGCCTTTAAGATTTCGATCATATTCTAGGGGTACTTGTATTTTTGCCCTTAAAATTATGATATTTAGCTATGTCTTTTCTAGACAATCTTTATCTTGAGCCACAGATCTATTGGAAACACTTTTCTACTCCACTTTGAGATTTAGATAACATATGTGTACGCTCTACTCTACTCAGACCCGCCTGTGTATACTATAGTGACTATGTTGTTGTAGCTAAGAGCTTAAATTTAAAATCGTAACGCATAAATTTTATATTTTCTTTTTAAGTCATATTTGAAAACAACCTTAAAATACAATAAATCAAATTAATTACTGTTTTTTTAAAATGTATAACAAACATATAAAAAAAATTCAAATAAACAAAAAACATGTTTTATCTCTCAAAATTGACACAAGATTAGGAGGTAATATCCTCCATTAAAAATATACATTACAAGGTACAAACCCACCCCCTCCGTTTAACCCAGTACTTGGCCAGAAAAGACCGTACATGTTGTATCAGTATATATACTCCATATCTTTATTAGATATAGTTATAGCTTTATATTCACATATTTGTTCATATCACAATTCAGATGCCAAAATGTCAAGCTCTGTTCATGTAAAAGAAGCTACTTTAATCACCCCTTCAGACCCAACCCCTATACAAGTTCTCCCACTTTCCGCTTTGGATTCCCAGCTCTTTTTGCGCTTCACCATCGAATATCTGCTCGTTTACAAGCCCTCACGCCATGTATTAGATAAACTAGCTACAGTGAGCCGTATCAAGGCCGCGCTTGGTCGAGCCCTGGTCCCTTACTACCCCTTAGCCGGAAGAGTCAGGGCTCGAACAAATGGCTCGGCAGGCCTTGAAGTGGTCTGCAGAGCTCAAGGTGCGGCCTTCATACAAGCCGCCTCCGATCTCACGGCGGAAGAATTCGAAGGAGCTCCCCGTCATAACACGCAATGGCGGAAGCTGTTGTCGTTACAAGTAACTGACGTCCTTAAAGGGGCTCCACCATTAGTTGTCCAGCTGACTTGGCTATCGGATGGATCGGCTACATTAGGCGTTGGATTCAATCATTGTCTCTGTGATGGAATTGGTAGTGCTGAGTTCCTCAACTTATTCGCTGAGTTAGCTACTGGTAAGCAGAAATTCACTCAATTAAATCGTCAAGTATGGAATCGCTATCTCATGGATCCAAACATTTATAATAAACGCATTTATCAACAAAATCATCCAGAGTTTAACAAAGTAGCCGATCTCTGTAACTTCAACTCTCGATTTTCTCAACTCGCGCCTACTTCAGTAACATTCAACAGGAGCAGAGTAAACGAATTGAAGAAATTATTAACATACACCCAATCCTCTTGCACTTCATTTGAAGTACTCTCTGCTCATATATGGAAGAGTTGGGCCACATCATTAAATTTACCACCCAACCAAACAGTAAAACTATTATTTACAATCAACATACGGAATCGAGTGAAGCCGAGCTTGCCGATTGGGTATTACGGTAACGGATTCGTCTTAGGATGCGCTCAATCTTGTGCCAGAGATTTAGTTGAAAAGGGATTGGGATACGCAGTTGGATTAGTGAAGAGAGCGAAAGATCGAGTAGACGATGAGTACGTAAGAGAAGTGGTGGAATCAGTGAGTTCGAATGGAACGAGTCCAGACTCAGTAGGTGTGTTAATAATGTCACAATGGTCAAAACTGGGATTAGAGAAAATTGACATAGGAATGGGGAGGCCTGTTGAAGTAGGACCAGTTTGCTGTGATAGGTACTGTATATTACTGCCGGTGTATGATCAGAAGGATTCTGTGAAGGTAAATGTTGCGGTCCCTACAAGTGCGGTTGACAAATACTTGTATCTGTTAAACAATACCACCACCATTGGCACCTGACAAACAAGATTTGATGGACGATATTCAATTTCATGACATTCACAGGAGTATCTCTTCTTCTTCTTTTTTTCGAATTTGATGAGTACTAACTTATATATGTTGACTTCATGTACATCGATAGATCAATCCAAGGAGGGAAAAAGAATGAGTAAAAGATGAATTTGTTCACTTTGTAATTCTTTTGCTTCGTATAATTCAATCTTATTTAGGCTTGAGCTTTCCCTCACTTTCCCAATAGTCTAAAAATTGTACTCCCTCTGTCTCAATTTATGTGATACTTTTCATTTTCCGTTCGTCAAACAAATTAAGTTTGATCAGAAATTTGCATATGAAACCTTTAAATTTTTTGAAATGAAATTTATATATTTATAAATTGCATAAAAAGTATTTTGAGGTCACAATAATTAACAACTCAAAATATTTAAACTATATATGAAGAATTCATGGTCCAAGGTAGAATTGTTTGAATCTCAATATTCAAAATGTATCCCATAAATTGAGATAGAAGAAGTCGATAGTTAATTGGTGAGTGTAGGAAACCTAGCCCATTAGCAGCAGAATTTTTTTTGAAGATGCGACACAAACAAGCTTTAGGAGAGATTTGGTGGTTATTATCTATTATATTTCTCTCATTTCAATTTGTTTATCCTATTTTGATTTAACACGAGTTTAGAAAAAAATATTTTTGAATTGTGTGGTTATAAACTAAAATCGTGTCAAATGTACTGAAATATCTTTTAATATTTATAAACATGTCATGTGAAAAATTAAAATTAAAAAGCTACACAAAAGAAAAGAGATACTCTTTTTGAAAAATACTAAATCAAGTTATAAAGATGAAAGCTTAATATAGAATAACAACTCTTGGAAGTCCCAACAAGCTTTCCAGAGGGTACAAATACCATAAGCTCTCTTTTATTGGTTTACCTTAGTGAGTTTTGAGAGTATTTTTAGATACTTTATATATATATCATATCCTGATTCCTCAGGATATGATCCTGAAGATGGGTCACTTAGCCCATTCGACCGATGTGAGGGCGACTTAATTAGAGGTTGTGCTACCATGGATGATCGATACTTCTATCCTTGCTACTTTGACACCCCTCCAGACTTCTATTGATGATTTGAAAGTGATATTCATGACTTGTAAGCATCGACATGGGGAGTCTTCTGCAGTGACGACTTTAAAAGCCGAGGTTTTAGATCTGAGGAAGGATGTGGACTACTTGAAGTCCACTGACTTTACTTCATTATTGGAAGCAACAAATGATGTGGATGCCCTGACCAATTTTGCAATTCCTTTGGTCTCCACCGGAGATGTGCCAATGGATGATGTGGCAGTCGATGAGTTGGAGGTAGAAACCGACAAGGAGAAAATTGAGGTGAGAGAGGAGAGCATCTATAGAGACAAATGAGTCTAAGATTTGGGCTTATATAGGTCTTTAGTTGTATCGATTTAGTGTCCTCAAATTCAAATATTGTGCCAATAACTAATGTAAAATCCTTGATTTCCAAGTATTTGGATTGAGACAAAGCAAGGACACTAATTTGCAAAAAGAAACGAAATGAGCTGAAAGAAGGAAGAAAAGAGAGCATGATGATCGCGAAGTCCATTTGGCGAGTCTCCAAGTGACCATTAGACCGCCTAAAGTTCAGTCTGCCAAACCTTGAAGAAGAAAATTAAGTTGGTGAGAGAAATGAGCAGTCAGAGGATCGCCGAGTGATTCTGCGATGCAGAGTTAGATCGCCCAAAGTTACATACTTGGAAGATGTTGAAGGTCATGACGAAAAGGCAATGGAATTGAAAAAAGGGAGGATCCCGAGTTGATCGGCGAGCCCTACTTACTGCATCGAATGACCCCTTACAACATATTTTTGGCGATTGTCAATACGTTTTTGAAAATTTAAGTAGGGATCTTTTTTTTTTCTCAATTAGAAAATATCATTATTTTTAATTGGAAATCTGAGTATCGTGACAAGTTTTTCCTTAACTTTGAAGAATTGAAGTTTTTACCTTTTGAGAAATCAGAAGTGGGTCTTTGAGATTCTTCAACTTGGAGTATTGCAAGGACGAAATTAATCTTAACCAGTTGATAGAAACACAATTTGCTATAATTTTTATCATTTTATGATATCTAGCTAAATCTCCAATTCTTGGAATGTGATTATGTGATGATTTAGTTTATGGGTATTGCTAATTATTAGTTTAAATATTGGTTAGAAGTGAGTTTAATCAATAAATGTGATTTAATTTAAAAATTGTAGTTGTAATTGTAATTCTACCTTCGTATTTTTATCTTGCTTGAGATAGTGGTTTAAAATCAAGCTTATTGATTGATGGTCAATGGGTATGGGGTTAACTTGGGTTCATCTCGAGAGAGTGAATCCTAATTTTAGTTCCACATATTCAGTTCGAAAGTGTGAATCAACTAAGGTGTATGCTTGTGTTATTTTGCTTGCTTGTTGGTGTTTGATAGGAAACAACTTGATTCGGGGTAAATTGTTCGAACGAAAATTTATTCCCTCTATGACTTAGCTTACATAAAAATATTCAGCTATTTTCTAACAGTTGCAATTACCCGTTTGTCTATATTAGCCTATAATCGAATCACATGACAAGAACTCATGTCATCATTGTTATTTCATGTTATTAGCTGCTGCAGTTGTTGATAATTGAAACCAAAACCCACTTTATCTGTTACCCCCAAATTTAGATTATGTTTTTATTCGATAATGTCTATTCCTTTGACTGCTTTGAAACATGTTCTCGTTTTACTATTAAATCTTAAACACGTACATTCCTATGTGGGATTTGAACCCCATTCTTTTAATTGGTTTATTATACTCAGTAACGATCATTCACGCTTAAAATTGAATTAAGTGTCTTTAAAATTTTATTAGTAAAAATGACGCCGCTGCGAGGAGTGATTTTATTTAGTATTCTTTGGTTAAGTTGAATTTTGTTCTTTTAGTCATAGTTGAATCACTTACTTTCAATTTTGGTTCTCATGTTGCTTGTTTAGAACAGAAGAAATGAGCATTTCTTGTAGCAACGGTGACCCAATGAACCACCCTCCTTTGAGAAATATGATTCTAAAGGATAACATCTTGTGTTTCAAGAAATTGAAGGGTGTGTCAATCAATGAGTTGTGGATGAGATTTAAGTCACTATTGCTGCAATGCAAAACTCATGGAATCTTAGATAAAATGCTACCGGGCTGCTTCTATACTGGTCTTGGTAAGGAGAACAAAGGATTGACTGACCAAATTTCTCCAAGTGGTCTCACACGACTACCCTATACAATAGCAACCCAACTCCTTGATCATATGGCCAATACCAATAAGGATACTAAGAAGGACCAGATTTTGGGAACAATGTTGACTCAGTTGGATCTCATGGACAAACAGATTATGGAATTGTAGGTGCCGTACAAAACGAAAGATCGGTACATTCCCTCCTCATGAGCTTAGAAAGTCCAAGGAACACAAGGGTGTACCAATAAAAGAGACACTCTCACTCATTCTCCACAAAGTCGAAGAACAAGACAAAGTGTTGAGTGAGATAAAAAAAAATGTCACACTGCTGAATCAGATTGCTACTTCCCGTTCAACGTTGATTCAGCTATTGGATATGTTGTCTCTTCTCTATCCAACAAATAAAAATTGAGTTGGGAATTTCATTGTGGAACGACGCTAACTAAGACATTTCTTGGGAGACAACTCAAGTCTTACTTCATTCTTTTTGTTTTAGAAATAATCGATGGTTGATTTTGCAGGTGAAAAAGTGGAATGTGTTTGAAAATTTGCAAGTTTGTGAGCAAAAGTGTCCGGTCGCTGACTCATCAAGAAAGTCGGCGAGCCCGACTTGGACCACCGTTGGACTAAAGTAACTATGAAGTTAGAGTCTGTAAAACATGGTGAGCCCAGGAGAAAATTGGCGCATTGCGGAAAAGTTTGGCGATCACCACTTTGTCCGCCATTTGGACCCCTAGTATAACTGTAAGTCTTGTAAAATTCAGCGACGTAAGTGCCCACTCGGCATGTCGGTGAGTGGGTCTGTGAAAAAATCTAATGTCGCCGAATGAGCGAGAATTAGAAATTTTAAAGGCCAAAAATTTAAAGTTAAAAATTTTTCACATTTCCTCACTTTTTAACTTTCCAAACTCACACCCGCACTATATTTTCCCATATATTTGCATTATTTCCATTTTTATTCGTTGATTATGTGTTTGGAGTTGGTGCCTCCTCTTGTTTCAAAGTATTTATTTGATATTAAAGGTTGGTTTTCCAAACCCCAAACTTGTAATTAGCAACTTCTAATCATTTGTAAATGTTCTTATCTTAGTGATGTGTATTCATAATTGTGTGCTTATTTGTTGTATTTAATTGAATATATAGCCTAAAATGATTAATCGTTGATTTTCTAAAATATTTGTGCTTAAAATTGATAGAAATTGTTGGGTTGTGCTAATGTTTTGTTGGGTCTAGTCGGGTGAAGTCTAAGTAACCCACATTTGTGTCAAATAACATACTTTTCCAAATGATGGATTAGTTGACATCATTCTTAAGGGTAAAGTCATCAAATGACCAAATTTGGCTAGTTCGGGAGAAGTCTGAGTATCCCAGGGGAATAAGTGTACTAGGTCTGAGTCTAATTGAGTTAGTGTATGTTTTGATTTTATTTTTGGGGGATTCGGGGTTGAATTATAATTTTGCAATGCATAGATAGGATCCCATAATCCCATCTACACTAAGTATTACTTCTAGGATACCATGATCATGCATAAAATACCTTAACCTTATTCGTAGAAAACACTTATAAACAAGGGAACATTCATGTTCATGACTTGTAATAAGTAAGTCACCCATACCAATATTTCATATAACGCATACATAAGTTCATATATCTTCATAACATAAAAAACCCTTACCATAGCATTTATAAGTCTACTTTTGCAATGTATAAGTGAAGTCTCATACCCCCACTTAGACTAATTAAAGCTCATTAAGAAGTCATAAGTATAGTCCATGTTCCTATTCGTAATAAAACATACATTCTTAAAAATTATATCATAAGAGAGACATACCATGCCCACTCTATAAGTATATTTGTGCAATGCATGAATGAAGTCCCAACCCCCCATCAATACTAAATAGAACTTCGTGAGGAAACACAAATAACTCATGTTTTTATCATGATTTATATTCTTATCATATATAAAAATAGACTTAATATACATAGATAATGTTGAGCCACATAGAATCTGGTGTTCTACCCCCACACCGGAAAGAGATGTCCT